GATGGCTGAAAGAGCTGTAGGAAAGTCGAAGAGTGATATAGTTTTGTAGGCGTAGTCAGAAAAAGAAAGAAAATGCAAAGGAAGATGGAATGGAAACAGAGATAGAGGAGGCTACACCAATTCGACTAGTCGAAATCAGCATGAAAGAAACTGGTCGGATCAGAGAAAACCCTGGAACCAAGAAAACCAAATAGGTGGTGCTGCAGGTAGAGGAAAAGGTGGTGGTCGAAAGCCTGACAAAAGTCACATTCAGTGTTTCAATTGTCAGAGGTATGGTCACTATTTTAGTGATTGTCCAAAAAAGAAGAAGAATCAATAAACTGATGCAAAGCTGGCGAAACATGAAGAAGAGGAGATGTTGTTGATACTCACAACAAGAGACGAAGAGAGATTTCAGGACAAGTGGTACTTGGACTCAGGATGCTCGTCACACATGACTGGAAGGAAAAATTGGTTTGTTAACATGAAGCCCTCGTCTAAGAACACGATGAAGTTTGCAAATGACAACACTCTAGCAGCTGAAGGTTTTGGTGATGTTCAGATCGTGAGGAAGGATGGTAAGAAATCAATAATTTCCAATGTGTCATACATACCAGACATGAAAAGTAACCTGCTTAGTATAGGACAACTTGTAAAAAAGAACTACAATGTAGTTGTCAAAGACAAGATGATGAGAGTTCTCGACGCATATGGTAGGTTGATCTTGAAGGCTCCAATATCTCAGAATAGGACCTTTAATATTAAACTCAATGTGATGGAGCACAAGTGCCTAACAACTGCAGCCAGCAGAGATGAGTGGTTATGGAATTTTTGAATAGGCCATCTCAACTTCAATGACATCAGAGAGCTAAAGAGAAGAAATATGGCTTCAAGATTACCTGAAATCAACATTCCAAGTGAAGTCTGTGAAGAGTGTGTTCATTCGAAACAACACAAGAATAACTTCAGCAAGGATGCAGGAAGGAAGTCGAAGGTAATTCAAGAAGTCATATACTCTGATGTATGTGGTCCAATCCAGGTGGATTCTATTACAGGCAACAAATACTTTGTCACTTTCATAGATGACTACAGTCAAAAGTTGTGGACTTACCTCATCAAGAAAAAAAGTGATGTGATCGAGGTATTTGTCAGATTCAAATCTATGGTCGAAAGACAGAGTGGTTGAAAGCTAAAGATTTTGAGGACTTATGGTGGTGGAGAGTATGTGTCGAAAGATTTCGATGCATTATGTGAAAAATAAGGGATTGTGTATGAGGTGGTGCCACCCTACACTCCACAACAAAATGAAATTGCAGAAAGAAAGAACAGGTAGCAAAAAGGAAGATTAACTTGGGACACTGCAGAACTGAGAATCAGATTGTAGACATCATGACGAAGGGAGTGTCAGTCGAAGTGTTCAAGAAGCTAAGGTCTATGATGAATGTAAATAGTTTAGACACAATGAATTAGGTAGTGTGTTAAATATGTAATTCATTATTTTAGAAATATTAGATTTGATTAGATATTTTTGGGCTTTTATAGTTTAGGCTTTAGTTTGAGATGCAAGTTAACCTAAATCTATAAATAGGGAGGAACCTTTTCATTGTAATCATCAAGCTTTATAATCACGGTTTTACAGTTGCAAAGTGATAATAAAATTCCACAATTGTGGGCAAAGAGTTACTCTACAGTTCATACTCATCTTCTTTAAACGTGTTTTTATTTTTTGATCATTGTCATTACATAACTATTTTGAAATCAAGATTGAGAAGAATTTACCATAGATCATGGTTGAATTCCGATTGCGATTAAAGAAAGGAAAATCGTGATGGCGATAAATCACCCAAACGAACATTTTCCAGCAAATTTGTCAATTCTCAAGAAAGATAATTATGAGAATTGGTGCAAGCAGATTAAAGTAATTTTCTATTACCAAGATTTTTGGGATCTTGTGAAGGAGGGATTATTACCGCTTGCAGAAACTGCGATAGATCAGGAGAAAGCATCATATGAAGAATTGAAGAAGAAAGACTATAAAGCTCATTTATAATCCACCAATGTGTTGATCCAGATAACTATGAAAATGTTAGTGATGTAGAATCAACAAAAGAAGCTTGGGAGATTCTTGAAAATTCGTTTGGAGGCGCAGAGAAGGTGAAAGAGGTGAGGTTACAATCTCACAAAAAGACTTATAAATTGCTTCAGATGGAAGACAATGAAAGTATAACATATTTCTTCACCAGAGTTACAAAGTTGGTGAATCAAATCAAGATATATGGAGAAGTGTTGACATCAAGATCAGTTGTGTCAAAGATCTTGAGGTCATTGGCTCTAAAATTCGACCACGTGGTAGTAGCCATAGAAGAGTCGAAAGACTTGTCAGGGACGCTTGAGTCTCATGAACAAAGGATGGCTGAAAGAGCTGCAGGAAATTCGAAGAGTGATATGGCTTTGCAGGCGTAGTCAAAAAAAGAAAGGAAAGGAAAAGGAAGTTAGAATGGCAACAAAGGTAGAGGAGGTTACACCAATTTGACTGGTCGAAATCAGCATGAAGAAAATTGGTCGAATCAGAGAAAACCCTAAAACCATGGTAACCAAAAAGGTGATGTTGCAGGTAGAGGAAGAGGTGGTAGTCAAAAGCCTGACAAAAGTCACATTCAGTATTTCAATTGTAAGAAGTATGGTCACTATTTTAATGATTGTCCAGAAAAGAAGAAGAATTAAGAAACTGATGCAAAGTTGGCGAAACATGAAGAAGAAGAGATGGTGTTGATGGTCACAACAAGAGACGAAGAGAGGTTTCAGGACCAGTGGTACTTGGACTCAGGATGCTCATCACACATGACTGGAAAGAAAGATTGGTTTCTCAACATGAAACCCTCGTCGAAGAACACGGTGAAGATTGCAAATGACAACACTTTAGCAGCTGAAGGTTTTAGTGATGTTCAGATCGTGAGGAAGGATGACAAGAAATCAACAATTTGCAATGTATTATACATACCAGGCATGAAAAATAACCTGCTCAGTATAAGACAACTTGTCAAAAAGAACTACAAGGTAGTTGTCAAAGACAAGATGATGGGAGTTCTCGACACAGGTGGTAGGTTGATCTTGAAGGTTCCAATGTCTCAGAATAGGACCTTCAAGATTGAACTTAATGTGATGGAGCACAAGTGGCTTGAAACTGCAGCCATCAGAGATGAGTGGTTATGGTATTTTCGACTAGGTCATCTCAACTTCAATGACATCAGAGAGCTAAATAGAAGAAATATGGCTTCAGGGTTACTTGAAATCAACATTCCAAGTGAAGTCTATGAAGAGTGTCTTCAATCGAAACAACACAAGAATAACTTCTGCGAGAAAGCAGGAAGGAAGACGAAGGCAATTATGGAAGTCATATACTCTAATGTTTGTGGTCCAATTCAGGTGGATTCGATTGCAGACAACAGATACTTTATCGCATTCATAGATGATTACACTCAAAAGTTGTGGACTTACCTCATCAAGAAGAAAAGTGATGTGATCGAGGTATTTTCCATATTCAAATCTATGGTCGAAAGACAAAGTGGTCAAAAGTTAAAGATTCTGAGGACTGATGGTGGTGGAGAGAATGTGTCGAAAGATTTCGATGCATTATGTGAAAAAGATGGGATTATGCATGAGGTGGTGCCACCTTACACTCCACAACAAAATGGAATTGCAGAAAGAAAGAACAGGTAGCAGAAGGGAAGATGAACTTGGAACATTGCAGAACTGAGAATCAGATTGCAGACATCATGACGAAGAGAGTGTCAGTCGAAGTATTCAAGAAGTTAAGTTCTATAATGAATGTAGATAGTTTATACACAATGAATTAGGTGGTGTGTTAAATATGTAGTTCATTATTTTAGAAAAATTAGATTTGATTTAGAAAGATCATATTTGATTTAGAAAGATTAGATTAGATATTTTTTGCCTTTTATAGTTTGGATTTTACCTTGAGATGCAAGTTAACCTAAATCTATAAATAGGGAGGAATCATTTTCATTGGTTACTCTACAGTTCATACTCATCTTCTTTCATACTCATCTTCTTTAAACGTGTTTTTATTTTTTGTTCATTGTCATTACATATCTATCTTGAGATCAAGATTGTGAAGAGTTCACCATAAGCTTGAATTTCAAGAGTAATAAATTTGTCACCCATGTCATGTGAGCAAATGATCATGCTTCTCAAACTTAAAATATATGACAAGTAGATTTTGTGTCCAGTCATTTACCAGCTGTTAGATATTTGTTTTTCCTGACAGAAGTTTAAAGTTTGATTTTGTCATATATGACATTCCAAGTATGAGATTTAAAGCTTTATATTTCTAATACAAGCAGAACTTGATAGAAATATAGAGTTCTATCAATTCCATCATTTTCACCATTCCCTAATCCATTTAATCATCTAAATAAAATGCTTCTGAAGCGCACACTTTTATAGCCAGTTCACATTCACATGAGCTTTATAGATACCTTTAAATAGTGATTGGATTATAGTGCAAATAGTACCAAAGGACCTTTACTATGTCTAATGTATTAAACACAATTCAGCATGAGATTCTTATTATTATATCTTACTAGTATTAAATAAAAATAATCACATGTGCAAAAGGGAAAGGAGATCAAAATTTTCAATGACTATAAAATAGAGGGACAAAAAACTAAATTTTAAAATAGATAACTAAAAGATTAAATCCATCAAAATAAAACACATAGTAAAACACATGATACAAGCCATAACTAATTCAATTTGTAGCTATGTAGAATCACTAAACAGTAGTACGAATTTGTGAAATTTCACTTATTCATTTTTAAAAAAAAGTGAAATTCTAACAAATAAGTTACTTAAAAAAAAAGACAGCTAATTATAAAAAATAAAAATAAAAAATCAACTATAAATGCAAGTTGAATTTCATGTCACCTTTTGTTTTCTCTAAAAATTGAACACCTAGAAATAAAAATTGTTGTTTTTATTACTTTCATTGGCATTGTTAGTTATATAACATTGCCATTACTATTATTGGTTTTTGTGTCATTATTATTTGGTTGTGCACCCCCAATCATGCGAGTAAGAGCAGCTACCAAAACTGCAGCGAAGTCCGGATCAGCTGCAAGGTTCTGTGATGTCTGTTGAGATTGCGAAGTTTCTGCATCTTGAGACATTTGAAGTCCTGAGAATCTTGACTGATTAAACAACGTATGAGTAGGAAACTGTAATGGATTATTTGGCGATTGAGTTAAGTCCAATGTAATGGTTGGAAATGGAGCTGACGACGAAATAGTTGCAATGCTTGAAGAAGAAGGAAACACTGTTCTTGTGAGAAAATTTGGATTCATTAGTCCATCAGGACTTGTCATTGGCCCTGATAGTAGCATTCTTGCAGCTGATGATGTTTGGCGTACCATTTCCATAGCCGCCGGTGGCAAGGCATGGTTGTGATTTCCTTCGTATGTTATTACCAATATTGATTTGTCCTCGGCCCACCTTTGTACCTGTTATTATAGACAGTGACGGATCCAGAAAAATTATTACCCGAGAAAAAATAACTTGAAACTTATATAACTAACAACTTTTATATAAAATAACTTACCTGTTTTTTCACTGGACAATTTAAAGCCATGGTGCATCGATAATAAGCTCGAGGAAACGGATTTCCTTTCGCCATTTTCTGTCCATACTTTCTCCATTGACAACCATCATTGATCTGAAACAACAATGCAAGTAATTTTTGCATCAAATAAAAATCCAAAAAATAAATTCCTTCACAGTATGAAATTAAAGTACCATATTAGCCTCCGACCGAACTCGAACGGAAACTTTGGCTTTCCTCATTGTTGCCTCAGCTTCTTCTACATGAGTTTGAGGACTAAAATTTGAAACATTATTAGCATTATTATTATTAGCAGCTACAACTTGATTTCCGTGATCAGATTCCTCTTTATCATGATCAAAGACAAGTTCTTCATCATCGTTAGAACCTTCCTCATCCACATTTTGCCTTTGAATCAAAACTCCGCTATTCCCATTTGGTTTCTCTTCTTGTTCCTCTTCTTTACCATCCTCCACCTTTCTCACCTTTCTCTCCTGCATCAAACTCAACAAATGCTCGTAATGCATCTTGGCCTCATCAAACATGTTTCTCAAATGCTGATTCTCCGCTTTCTTTCTCTCGAGCTCGGCTTGAAGAACATCAAGCTGAAATATCATTAGATTGCATAAAAATTAAAAACTCTATAATTAAAATTTCATCAAATTACTGAATTTATTGTTACATATAATTAATTTTTTTTTACCTCAAGGTTATCTCTTTTGTCTTCTGAATTAGTTGATGTGTTAGCTTCAACCTTGGATTCATCACTGCTTGTATTTGTCGTAAGAAGATTCAAACTAGTCTATTGAAACATCACATTTTCTTAAACACATGAACAATATCATATCTATATATATACATGTACATGCAATACTATTATCATCAATAGAAAAAATATTAAATTAATGATAATAATGGAATAGAATAAATGAAGGGTGACTCACATTTACTTTGATTTCAGTGGGAGATGAAGGGGTGTGATGTTGATAGGGAGGTGCAGAAGTAGAGGCATGGTTGGTATTATTTAGAGAGAAAAAATCGAATTCATGAATGATGGGTTTGTTTTGATTATCAGAGAGTGGAGAGATGTAACAGTTGTTGTGGTTGGTATTCATTTTATGAGTATTGTAAGTTTGTAGTTAAAGTATTTGTGGTTTTTACTGTTGCGTTAAGGAAAAGAGTAAGAATTTTATAGGTCTGTGGTGAAAGAAGCTAAAAAAATGGATCTGAATCAATGGAGAGTCCAACTCCCATGGCCATGTGAAACTAAGGGGTATGGATAGAGACTTGAGAATGTGAGTAAGAAATAGAGTGATAGTCAATGATGGAATGAGACTCGGCAAAAAAAGAGGAGAGAACCAAGACTTGAAAAGAATACTAATAAACAATGTTAATTTTTATTTATTTTTAAAATAAAAAATTTATATAATTGTTTTTTCGTTGTTTTTCTAAATAATCAAAAGTTTTCATTCAGTTACAAAATTAAATTCAAAAAAATTCTATGATATATTATACAAAAGTGTTTGAGAAAAATATGAGCTAGATACTTAGAAATTTTAAGGATAAATTGCAGAATTGCTTGAATAATAAAATAAAATGAAATAAATCATAAATGAAATTGAGTAAAACGGTTAAGATGAAAAGTGAGACGTAGACTTGTACATTTTCTAACAAATTTAAATTATATAGAGACTAATAATGAAAATTGTGAACTTTTTTACCGAGACTAAATCAACTTATATATAGTACATAAATAATCGTTGATAACAACTAATTTCTTAGAAATCGCATGTTAATGTTACGTGGCCTTTTATTCTCTATATCGCTTCCATGTTTGTTCGGTCTTTGAACTGCTACAAAACTGCCACTGCTGTCAAGAAACATTCTTACCTTCAACGGTCTCTGTCGAGAATCCTCAGTCAAATCTTGTAATATTGGTGTCAGACCCACTTATGTGTATTTATCTCACACCTTTTTTCTATCGAACATGTCAAATCACTGCAAACCTTTTTGAAATTCTGAACTTGTTTTAAAGAGAGAGTGATTCAAATCTTGTGAATGTGTTATTGAGATTCTTCCAAACCAGGCTTAGTGAGTTTTTGTACAGCTTGAGTCGAAAATCACATGCTAAAGTTTTTTCTTTAAAAAATGTCATTTTTGATCATGTTTGCAACAAGGAAGAAAGATGGCGTTTTTACCAAACTCTCGACATTGTTCACAACAGTCTGCATACGTCATAGTCATCCTGACTTCTATTAGTAATAATTCATATTTTATTATATTACTTTCTTAAGCCCATAAGTTTGTTAGAGGGTATTTTAGTATTTATCTTATTCTAGTAACCCTAGTTTTAGCTTATAAATAGGGTGACAATCATTGTAACCATATATCATGTTTTGTAGCCGTCATTCTTAATAGAATATTTCCTTTGATCATCATTTATTCTACCTTTGCACCAACAATTGGTATCTAGAGCTCCGGTTCAGATTCATTGGGAAACACGGGAAACACGAGTGAACGTGAGGTCTTGTGTGTTTGATTTTGATTCTTAGATTCGTGTTGAATCTTGAACAAAATCTGATCAGAATTTTATTCTGTGGGTTGGGAAACACTGTGTGAGAAATCTGAGTGTATTGTGCAAGGTGAAGATGAACGGAAACGGCAACATGAACACCAAGCTTCCAGTATTTGACGGTAAAAACTGGAATCGTTGGATGATCCAAATGCGTGTACTGTTTGGTGCTCAAGATGTTTTAGATCTTGTCACTGATGGTTATGTTCCGGTAGCAGCAGATGCAACGGATGAACAGAAAAACGCGCAGAAGGAAGTAAGGAAGAAGGATCAGAAAGCATTATTCTTTATTCATCAATGTGTTGATGTAAATGTGTTTGAGAAGATTGCAGATTCAACGACAGCAAAGGCTGCGTGGGACACACTTGTGAGATGTTATGGTGGTGACGTATCAGTGAAGAAGGTGAAGCTTCAGTCCTTGAGAAAGCAATATGAGAATCTCAACATGAAGAATAATGAGAAAGTCTCTGAATACATCTCCAGAATGATTCTGATCACTAATGAGATGAAGGCGTGTGGAGAAACTCTTTCAGAAGAAACAATCATGGAGAAAGTATTGAGATCCCTTACTCCTCAATTTGATTACATTGTGGTAGAAATAGAACATTCCAAAGATCTGAGCACCATGAGAATTGAAGAGCTGCAGAGCAGTCTAGAAGCGCAAGAGTTGCGTTTGACTGAGAGAACTTCTGAAAGGGAAGTAGAGCAGCAGGCTCTGAAAGCAACTTCTGATAGGAGGTATCAGAAGCAGTCAGAAGCCAAGAGAAGATTTGATGGTGGTCAGAAGTCAGAAAGCTCAACCTCTGATAGACAAAAGAATGCTCAGAAGGGAAAAGAGAAGTATGACAAGAAGAAGATCCAATGTTACTGTTGTAAGAAGTTTGGTCACTTTGCTAGAGATTGTTGGTCAAACAAGGAGAAGAAATCAGAAGAAGCAAATATAGCCAGAAGTTCTGATGATGAATCTGTGCTATTGATGGCCTCTGAATCTGATGATCTGACAGACTGGTGGTATATGGACACTGGCTGTTCAAATCATCTTACTGGAAACAAGAAATGGCTGGTTGACTTTGACTCTAAAAAGAGGACAAATATCAGATGTGCTGATGACAAATATCTTAATGCAGAAGGTATGGGAAATGTCAGAGTGACTCTGAACAATGGGAAAACAGCATTGATTCAGAACGTGTGGTATGTACCTGGCATCAGAAGCAATCTGATGAGTGTGGGACAATTAATTGAGAAAGGTTTTTCAGTTACCATGAAGGACAATCTTCTGAAGCTATATGACTGCAATCAGAAGTTGATTATGGAGTCAGAACAGGGAAGGAATAGAATATTCAAGGTGAATGTCAGAACTGCAGACTCAGAATGTCTTAGTGCAACATGTGCTGAGAAGGAGAGTGAGCTGTGACACAGAAGATTTGATCATTTGAATTTCAGAAGCTTAAAACATCTGAGTTCAAAGAAGTTGGTACATGGAATTCCTGCAATTAAGAAGCCTGAAAAATCATGCAAAGTTTGCATGGAAGGAAAACAACCACGATTGCCATTTGCGTCAGAAGCTGCTCCAAGAGCAAAACATGCCTTGGGAGTTGTACATTCTGATGTGTGTGGTCCATTTCCAGTAGCATCAATTGGAGGGAATAAGTACTTTGTGTTATTTGTTGATGAATTCACAAGAATGACATGGGTATCCCTTATTAAGTTCAAACACGAGGTGTTTGATGAATTCAAGAAATTCAGAATGAAGGCTGAGAATCAGAGTGGTCAGAAGTTGAAGATTCTTAGAACTGATGGTGGAGGTGAGTATAACTCCAAAGAGTTCCAGAAGTTCTGTGAGAAGAATGGAATTGAGCATGAGGTTACTGCTCCTTATACCCCTCAACACAATGGTCTTGCTGAAAGAAGAAACCGTACTTTGCTTGATATGGTGAGAAGCATGCTAAAGGAGAAGAAGCTTCCTCAGAAGCTTTGGGGAGAAGCTGTTGCCACTGCAACGTATGTACTCAACAGATGTCCTACGAAGAAGTTGAAGGAAATAGTTCCAATACAGAAGTGGACTGGAGATAAGCAAAGTGTTAGTCATCTGAAGGTGTTTGGTTCTGTTTGCTATAAACATGTTCCAAAAGCCAGAAGACAAAAGCTGGATGATAGAAGCAAAGTGATGATTCTGATAGGGTACCACAGTACAGGTGCATACAAGCTCTATTGTCCAGAAACCAATAAAATTGAATTCAGCAGAGATGTGATTGTGAAGGAATCAGAAGTTTGGAATTGGGATAAGTCTCAATCTGATTCTGATGTTAGAACTTCTGAAGAAAGGTCAGAGTTAAGAATTTCTGAAGTTGGAGTAAATTCTGACATTGATTCTGACTCTGATAGTGATTCTGACTCTGAAGAAGACTCAGAAGATGAAGGTGACTCTGATGATCCAGACTCTGATGGTAATCCAGATTCTGGTGGCAATTCAGACTCTGAAGATGGCCAAGACTCTGAAAATATGCCAGATCCTGAAGTTGGTCAAAGCTCTGGAGAAAGTCAATCATCTGAAGCTCAAGACTCTGAACAAGTTCAGAGACCACAAAGAATCAGAAGCGTTCCCAGAAGATTTGCAGAATTTGACATGCTGCAAGACACTGAAGTAGACTCTGAAGGAGAAGTTATTTAGTGTGCCATGTTAGTAGACTCTGAACCTATAAGTACAGAGGAGGCTCTTAAGAAGAAGCTCTGGCTGAAGGCCATGAAAGAAGAACTTGATGCTATAGAGAGAAACAAGACTTGGAAGCTGACAGAACTTCCAGAAGACAAGAAAGCCATCAGCGTCAGATGGGTTTTCAAGCAGAAGTTAAAGCCATATGGTTCAATTGGCAAACATAAAGCAAGGTTGGTAGCCAGAGGATTTCTACAAAAACCTGGGATGGATTATTCTGAAGTGTTTGCACCTGTAGCAAGACATGAAACAATCAGAATGGTGATTGCAATAGCTGCTAACAGGAATTGGCCTCTGATGCATTTAGATGTAAAATCTGCATTTCTGAATGGTCCATTAGAAGAAGAAATTTACGTGTCACAACCTCCTGGATTTGTGAAAAAGAATCAGGAAGGGATGGTGTACAGATTATACAAAACTCTATATGGATTGAAACAAGCGCCCAGAGCTTGGAATCAGAAGATTGGTTCATTTTTCAAAAAGCAAGGCTTTCAAAAATGTGAGATGGAGTACGGTGTCTATGTTCAGCATACTTCTGAAGATAATATGACTCTGGTATGTTTATATGTTGATGATATACTATTGACTGGAAGTTCTGAACAGGAGATAGCCAAGTTCAAGAAGGTTCTAATGAATGAATTTGAAATGACTGATCTAGGCAAAATGACATACTTTCTAGGGATGGAGTTCAGATATTCTGAGAAAGGTATCATTTTGCATCAGCTCAAGTATGAATTAGAACTTCTGAAGAGATTTGATCTGAAGAATTGTAAGATGGCTGTCACACCTTCTGATACAAATCAGAAACTGGATTCAGACTCTGAAGGAAA